ACGAGAAGTCCAGGTGCTCCTCCAAGCCTCCTCCTCCTCCTCCTCCTCCTCCTCCTCCTCCTCCCTCTTCCTCCCTCCTCCCTCCTCCCTCCTCCTCCTCCTTCTCCTCCTCCTCCTCCTCCTCCTCCTCCTCCTCCTTCTCCTCCTCCTCCTCCTCGTCTCCTCCTCCTCCTCCTCCTCCCTCCTCCTCCCTCCTCCTCCCTCCTCCCTCCTCCCTCCTCCCTCCTCCCTCCTCCCTCCTCCCGCCTCCCTCCTCCTCCTCCTCCCTCCTCCTCCTCCTCCTCCTCCTCCTCCTCCTCCTCCTCCTCCTTCCCCTCCTCACCCCTCCTTCTGTCTCCACGAGGAGCGCCCTCCGTTCCCGCCGTGGGGTAGGCACCAGGCGGGGCAGCCCGACGTGGAGCCACAGCCGCCGCCGCACCCGCCGTCGGTGTCCATCTTCCGGGGCAGCGTGGGGAACCCGGCGCAGCAGGATACCAGTGGCCCCCAAGCGGCGCGGTAATACCCTTCGAAGAACAACAGCATGAATTTTCGGAGTGCCGCGCGGACTTCTTGGATCGGCGCCTCCGGTGCCGCCCCTGGCGCGCTCCGCGCGCCAGGGAGGGGGGTCCAGCGCAGATCCAAGAAATTCGCGCGGAGCTCCGAACGTTTATGATCATGCAGTATTTCTTTCTCCAAACACCGTAGTCGGTGGGGTCACAGGTGTTTCGGGCGTGCTCGAAGGCTCGTGGGAGACTGCGTGCCTCGGGTTGCGCTCCAGCAGCTGCGCCTCGACCAGTGCGTTCCGGGTTGGGCCGGGATCGTCCCGAATTCGGGGGCGGAAAAGAGGGGGGTGATGACTAGGGGGGGTGGATATCATGGCGCGGGCCATGATAATTCCCCAGATCTCATGGCGCCTCTTCTTATTCCATTACGTCCCAGGCCCCCCCGCTGGGCCGCGCACATGCCGCCGGTCATGGTCTGCACCCCCCCCTCTTGGACACCCCCCTCTTGGCCACCCCCCTCTTGGCCGCTCCCGACGAACGGCCGCCGGGGACTCGAGGCACGGCCCGGGAGCCGAGCGCTTGGAGGAGGGCCGTGGTGGTGAGGCGGTGCGGCCTCGGCGTGGCCCCACGGAGCGAGCGGCTCGGGCCGCCCTCCGCGGGGGCCTCTCGGGCCTCCAGAGGCTCCTGCAGTCGGACCGAGGGCTCGGATCGAGGTGGGTGCGGGGATGGTGCCCTGCTCAGCGCTCGTCGCGTGCGCTGGACGTTCCTGTGCAGCCTGGGGGAGGGCCGCCTCGAGCCTTCTCCAGTTTTCGGGCCGGCGGAGGGTCCTCATGTGCTTGAAGGACGGCTTCTCTGCTGTCCCAGGTCCGACTCCGACCCGTGCGGGTGAGTGACCGGGCAGTGAGGTCGTGGGGGATTCCGAGGTCGCCGCGCGGTCTGCCACCGCCGCAGTTCGAGGGCGCCCAGCAGGAGTTCGTGCCGGCACGGCTGATGTACGGGCTGCTGCCCGCGGCCATCCTCGAGCAGTACAACCTCTGGCAGTCGACGGAGGGGGGCTTCTCCATCCGAGGGGCAGAAGTCAGCACGCGGCTACGGCGCTGGAGCGAGGACCACTTCGGGGGCGGGGAGGGGCCCTGCTTGTCGGGCCCGTCCTTGGCTCTGGGCCGCCGCACGCCCTTGGGGACCCCGAGACACGCACACCCGTCCGTGACCGAGAGGCCCACCGTGGCCTGGGCAAGCTTCTCCGTGGCTCGGCCAGCATTCCTTTTGGCAGCACGACTGTGGGCGTAGACTGTGGGAGGCCGCGCGGATCTCCCATGGCTCCTCCTCCTCCTCCTCCTCCTCCTCCTCCTCCTCGGCGCTGGACCATTCCTTGCGGCGCCTCCAGTCAAGAAGCCCCAACCCTAATTCCACGATGACGGCGTAGCATCACGAAGGCCCCAGTCTTTGCATGAGGGACCACAGATCATCTGGGCGGTTTGGCTCGATACCTCTTCAGAAAAAAAAGACCCCCTATCCCTGGTGTTTGTGGCCCTCCCAACTCAGGTCCCTTCCCACAGGGCTAGGGGTACCTTGACTGCTAGTCGTCCAGCTTCGCCGAGGGGGGCCCAGGCCGCCCCGAGGGGGTGCGCAGCTAGCCGGTTTGGCGCACCGCGGCCTGGGCCGGAGAGGAGGGGCCACGCGAGGCCGCGAGGGCGATCGCGCGTCGCGCGTCGCGGGCCACGACGCACCAGTTGGGCGATGCAGGGGGGCGGTGCCGATCCGCAGAACTCCGCGCGGGCATCCAAAAGCTTTGCGCCTGTGCCTCGAATCCGACTGCTCACTGCTCAGGGGCCCTTCTCCTCTCCTCCTCTCCTCCTCTCCTCCTCTCCGCCTCCTCCTCCTCCTCCTCCTCCGCCTCCTCCTCCTCCTCCGCCTCCTCCTCCTCCTCCTCCTCCGCAACTCCTCCTCCTCTCCTCCTCCTCCTCCCTCTTCTCCCTCGCCGCTCCTCCTCCTCCTCCTCCTCCTCCGCATCCTCCTCCTCCTCCTCCTCCTCCTCCTCCTCCTCCTCCTCCTCCTCCTCCTCCCCCTCCCCCTGCGAGCGGGGTGGACGGCCTGGCGGGCCGCGGGGCAAGCAGCCTGGCAGCAGCGGGGGGGGGGGGGAGCACAAGCGGCCGGGGCCGCGGGCGGGCGCCTGGCCGCGCCGCGGGGCCGACGCTTTTCTGCCCCTCGGCGCGTGCACGGGGAGGCCGCCGACGGGGACACGAGCAGGCGCCTCGAGGTCTCGCTGGTGGCCCGGGCCATGGCGGCCGGCACGGCGGAGGAGGAGCACGAGGAGCCCGAGGCCGTCTGCGCTCGCGTGGAGGCGACCTTCAAGAGCGGGGACCCGCGGGGCGGCGGCAGGGGGCCCCCCGCCCTCCAGCCCGTCCACCCCCTCTCACCCCCCTCCCTCCCCCCTCCCCTCTCCCCTCCCTCCCTCCCCTCTCCCCCTCCCTCCCCCCCCCTCTCCCCCCCTCCCTCCCCTCTCCCCTCCCTCTCCCCCTCCCTCCCCCTCTCCCCTCCCTCCCTCCCCTCCCCCCCTCTCTCCCCCCTCCAGCCCGTCCACCCTCTCTCTCCCCCCCTCCCTCCCCCTCCACAGCTGCACAGCATGAGTACGACTCGCCTCTCTCTCTCTCTCTCTTTCTCTCCCCTGGGTGGCGTCTGGGAAGTGCTCGGACTTCCTCCGCGCACGGATTTTTTACACACAGGCTTCCCGGGAGACGGTTTTCGCTGGGGTTTCTGTTCAAAATGCGGCTCTCGCTGAAGCGCTGGCTTCATTTTCGGCCTACCGCCCGAGTCGTGCTCCCGCTGAAGCATCGGCCTCATTTCCGCGCTTCCGCTCCGCGCTTCCGCTCGTTCCGAATCGCGCTGCTGCCGCTGCAGCGCCGAGCCCCCGAAGAAACCATCGGAAGTGATTACACATTCGGTGTCGATTCGTTGATTTTATGCCGCAGAAGCCCCTCCTCCTCCCCCCCACTTTGGGGAGTCGTCACGCCATGCTATGTCATGCTACGCGTTGATCTTCAACCCCATACTATACCATGTAATGCTATGTCATGCTACGACATCCGATTTTGAGAATAAAGAGGATATCTACGCCATAGTAAGGGAGGGGGGGAGGGGTAGGGCGTCAGAGATGACGCCAGCGCACCTAGCTTGCCCCCTCCCCCTCCCCCCTTCCCCCCCCTCCCCCCTCCCCTCCCCCTCCTCAATCTCCCACCCCCCTCCTCATCCACTCTTCTCCTCCCCCCCCCCTTCCCCATCCTCCCCCGACCCCCGCCCCCGGTCTCTCCGCTTCCCCTCCCCTTCTCCCGTTCTTTCCTCCCTTCTCCCCCTCCCCCCCTCAGTTCCGTCCTCCCTCCCCCCCCCCACCCCAACGACGAAACCAGGGCCACGGCAAGGTCAGCGGGCCTGGACAGATCGAGGCCGGGAGGAGGGCCCCTCGGGACGGCGGCCGTCCTCCCCCGGCGTGCTGTGCCTCCCCTGGCGGGCCTCTCCTGGAGGCTTCTCGCGGTCACGGCTGGAGCTGCCTCGGAGGATGGGGCATGATGGGCTCCAGTCCGGGCCTTTTAGATGGGGTCGGAGTGGATGGGGTCGGAGGACCGCGCCGCATCGCCGATGCATCGGCGATGCGGCTCGATGTGGGGCCCGATTTGCTTCACGTCGACGTCGCCTATGCATCGTCCACGTCGACGATGCATCGCCGGTGCATTGCCGATGTATCGCCGATGCATCGCGGATGCGGCGCGATCCTCCGACCCCGTCCACTCCGACCCCGTCCGGGAGGCCTCCAGGGGGGCCCATTTACCACTGGACAGAGCAGTTGCTTACGCGCATGCCGTCTCCCACCGACGCCGGCACCATACAACAAGCTAAAGTTGCCGCTCTTGCTTGGCTCGACTCCCACCCCGGAGAAGAGGTGGCGCCAGCGGCCAAAGCCTTCTACGACACCATACGAGACGTGCGATATCGGTACGCTCGCCCTGGCGACGGCAACATATGCGATCGATGTGGATGGGTCCCACCAACAGGCATTGCTCCGAGGGCCGCCAACAAGCCCCTCCACCACCACCGCCGCGACTGCCGCGGCTGCACGTACAAGCAGGCCGCCTCCGACAACAAGCTCGGCCCGGATGCGCGTCGCACCGTGGCGGCCTTCCTGCAGAAGAACAACCAGGCGGCCATACAGGCGGGGCACGAGCGGAACCTGCGTCAGAGGATGGCTCGCGCCCCCGAGGCTCTCCAGAACGCCGCCCACGACCTCGACACCACCGTGCCGTACTTCGTCTCCGAGTCCGGCGTCAACAGGTACAAGTTCCAGTGCAAGCACTGCCACCAGAAGATGAAGCGTGCCGACGCCTTCTGTGACCCGTGCATACAAGCACCAGCACCCATCAGCTTCCAGGAGTTCCACCTGTTGCTCTGGAAGCATGGCCTTCGACATCAGGAAGTGCAGACCGCCGAGGCCCTCAAGGCCAAGGTCGCACGCTGGAGGCCGCACTCTCTGAGGTGAAGGTGCCCGCGACGGTCATGCAGGCCCCGTGTTTGGTGGACCCACGCCTGCAGGGTCGGCGAGGCGGCCAATCCAGGCCCGCCTGCGCACCGACGCCGTTGCGGGAACCACCGACACGCACCCACCACTACAGGCGACGACAGTCGCACACAGCAGCTCACCACTCCCACTCCAGCTTCCGACATCGGCCCGTCCCCCCACAGAGGGGCCCGCCAGGTGGCGGTCACGGTCTGGCACTCGAACGTGCAGGGGGCCCCGAACCAAGACGACCTCAGGAGTGCTCTACGACACGCGACCCGCATGGATGCCGACGTCGTAGTGCTCACAGAGACTCACTGGGACGAGACGCGTGCGAAGGAGCGCGTATCCGCGCGCAGCAAGTTCGGCCACGCCTTCGCAACGGCCTCTCACACGACCACTCCGAACACAGCGGGCGTGGCCATCTACGGTCCAGCAGGCATGCGTCGCGATCCATGGTGCTGGCCCACCTCCCTACGAGGCCGGGTAGCATCAGCAGTGCTTCGCGCCGGCTCAACGGACGTCTTGATCATCGGAGTGTACGGCCACTCCGGCACCAAGCCGGCATCGAAGGCCGGCAGGGCCGCTCTCGCAGATGCTCTCGCCGTGCGCGCTGCTGCCGCCGACCTACCCACAGTCATGATTGGGGATTGGAATGCCCCGCCAGACGACGACGACTATTCTTCCCTCGCGGACTTCACCATCGACCACCGAGTTGTGGGCCACCTGGATGCCCCCACGCATACCGGCGGCAGGTGCATCGATTATTCACGCAGCCGCAGTTTGACGACACTCGATGCCAAGCTCGGCCCACCTGTCTCGCACGAGCTTTCAGCCAAGAGTCCATCCGACCACGTCCAACACTGCACGGAGTTCGCCGTGAGCGCCGACGCCGACGTCACCTCCCTACGACGCCACCACCCGCTGACACCTCCCGCCTCCAAAGCCTTGTGGTTGGAAGCATGGGAGCGCGCGGCCACCACCACGCGCCTCGCCGAGGCGGCGGCCGGGCACGACCCGAGCACGTATTGGCAGGCTTGGTCGGACACCCTGGAGCTCAGCGCCGGTGTCCCCCAGCACAGCCTCACCAGGTCCGACGGCGACGACGTGCGGCGATGGACCAAGGTGTGGAAATCTGCCGCGGACCACGCCAACACCGAGGAGCACCGACAGCCAGTCGCAGAACGGCGACTCCGACGCGTCTACCGGCGCCTCCTGCAGTACGGCAACATCCAGGGCGAGGACGCGGCACTCAGCGCCTCCCTCGCCAGGAGCCTCGGCTCCCTGGTTTCCGACGGCTGTATTCCCCACCCGGCCACCTACGACGACGCCGTCTGCAGCGTTCGACGGGCCATCCCGGCCTTCGAGGAGGAGGTCATCCAGTCCCGCTTGAACCAGTGGAGACACCAACAGCAGCATCATTCCATGACGTCTGCCTACGCCTGCGTCCGCAACGCAGCCAACGCCCCCTCTGCGGCCGCAACCGATCCAACCTCGGGCCGGCTCTCCGGGGGATGCGCCGCCAGCATGACCGCAGCCAAGCGCGCCTGGGACGCCAAGATGGCCGCTCCCCCAGACACCTCCAGCCTCGACCAGTATTTCGCCGAGGCCGCCAGATACGTGGCCCCAGTCCGACCGTGCGTGGAGTGCGGCGGAAAGCGGCACCTCGAGTGGGACAGGTTCACCGTTGCAGGCCTCAAGGCGGCAGCACGTGGTTGCCGGGGCACCGCAGCCGGGCCCACGGACTACGACGCCGATTTCCTGCTCTCCATGCCCACGCTTGCGTGGCAGCACCTGGCGGACCTCGCTGACATGATCATGGGCAAGGGCATCTGGCCGGACGCGCTCCGCGCGCAGAACGTGACCTTCATTCCGAAGATCTCCTCGCAGGACCTGCGCCCGATCGCCGTCATCCCCGTCGTCACGCGCACCCTGTCGAGGTGCCTTGTTCAACATTACCGTTTCTGGACCACCAGGGTCCAATCTACAGACGCGGTCGGGCAGCTGCTCCGGTTCGAGGCCGCCGTCACCGCGCGCATAGCCGACAACCTCCCGACAGTTGCACGCACCAGTGACCTGGCCAGCTGCTTCAATCACATCGACCCGTCTTTGGCGGAGCGAGCGGCGATTCTTCACGGCATGCCGGACACGCACGCTCATTTCCTCTTCTCCGTGAACGTGGACAAGCCCACAATTTTCCGTGGTGGAGAGTACGCCATGCGCGCCCCACCGCCAGACAGCGGTCTTGCACAGGGCGACCCGAGCTCTGCGCTGGGAGCGGCTGTGGTCGGCGCCACGCACAAGGCAGTCTTGAAGAGCACAGTCGACGGCCTGCAGTACTTCGACACGTACGTCGACGACAGGACGGCCCTGACCAACTCTTTGGAGGCAGACCGACATCATACCCAGGAGGTGGCACGTCTGGACCGCCTCACGGGACAACGCGAAGATCCCAAGAAGGGCTCTATGGCGGCGGTCTTCCTTACCAACGGCACCGACCGCGCCGACAGCACCCTCCCCCTCCCCCTCCCCCTCACCAACAGTCGCGCCGACAACCACATCGACACCGACATCGAGGTGCTAGGCATCGTTTTCGACCTTACTGGATCCCGCAACCCCCGCAGCGGCCCGCGCACCGAACGGAGGGCAGGGGAGCTCCAGGAACGACTCCGACGCATCGCCAGGATCGCCAAAGCTGCCAGGCTCGGGGCCAGGAGGCGCATGGCCATGGTGAGAGCAACCATGTCCTTGTGGCGCTGGGACGCTCCGTGGGTCATGGCCGACGACACGGACCTGCACAGCATGCGCTACGACATAGAAAAGACCATCACCGGAGACAAAGACATTGGGCATGGAGGCACGGCGGTGCTTTCTGGCTCACCACGGACAAAGGATGGCTCGTGGAGCCCTTCGCGGTGCAGTTCTCGGTTCTCATCCGGTGTCTCGTGGAGGCGGCGTGTAGCGAGGACACCGCGCGCACCATGGAGCGAGCCTGGACCCACCTGCACGAGCAGGAGCAGCACGGAGGTCGTGCGGACGGATCGTGGAGCTATCGCCTGGCTGCCCGGATCCGGCAAGTCGTCTCCCGTTTCTGGCAGCCCACAGACAGTCCATGGAAGTACCATTTCGACCATCAAACTTTCGATGTTCGCCTCCTTCGCTAAGAACACCTGGACCACCACGTGCGCCAGGCATGGCGGGCATGGATTTGGACACATTACCACCGACGGACGCTCCGCAAGGAGGCCGCCGGCCGCGTACCAGCGCCTTGCCACACGACCCTCTGCGAGTGGCTGAACGAGCACGCCGGGGCCGACCACGACCGGTTCGCTTTGGCACAGAGGTGCGTGATGGCAGCCGAGCCCAACGCAGTGCGCCTTTCGCATCTGCATCCGGATTGCTCCTCGCGCACCTGCCCCACCTGCCAGGTGGACAACAACACCCACCACATGATGCACGAATGTCCGACCACGGAGCCGGTTCGTCGAGCGCACGGGCTCCACTTACCTCTACCACTCCCGGCCGACCTCTCTCAGGCCGAACGGAGCGCTTTCATGCTGCGTGGTTGGCACGACCACCACCTCCCTCAACTCTGCACTTTGGCGTACCGGGTGCTCAACTACAAACTGGCGGTCTTCCGGCCGTGGCACGCCGCGTGGCTTGCAGCCGCCGGTTCCAGCCGCCAGCAGCAACAATAATTTGATTGCATCTTGTGCATCAGCGACAACAAGCGATTGCATGTTCTGCATCCTCTCAACAAGTATGCGCTTGTCGGCGCCTTCTTTCAATTATAGTGTTTTCCTTTTTTACTGCTTCGAGGACATCAGACATCCTGTTGCAGTCAGAGCCGGCGGGGGGCCCATTTCGAGTGGACTTGTGCCGGGCGGGAGAGCCGGCGTTGCTTCAGCTGGCCCTCCTCCGAAGGGGGGGAACCGGCTCAGGGGGGGAGGCGTCGACGCCGCCGTCCAGCAGGGCCAGTTCGCCGTCGTCCTGGACGTACACGTCCTTGTCGGAATAGGGAGGTCACTACCCACCAAACCACTCCAACCCAACCCGAAGGCCCCGATTTGCCCTCCCTTCCCAGTGGGGGGGGGGCGTCGGGGAACATTGAAAAAGCACATGTGGAACCCGTACCCCCCCCAACCTGAGATTTGAGTGTTTGGGTTCGGTTGGGGTTATTTGTGGACAAAAGGGTAGGCGGCCTGGTAGCAGTCCCCCGAGTAGCTGGCCGCGTCGTAGTACTGGTTACTCGCGATCGCCCGTTCTTTGCCGGATCGGGGCCGGGGCGCCTCAGTTTGTCCTGGAACGTCGGGTTTCCCCGTCGGGGGCCTATCGCCGATTTAACCGGCCGCGTCGTCGATTCCAGGCAGGGCTCGAGCTAAACGGTGCTTTGGCGATTTCGTGGACCGTTTTCGTTTTTGATCCCGGTTCGCAGCAAAGGCAGAACGAAGACCCAACGACAGAAGACGAACCCAGTACGATTAACGAAAACCACTGCCCAGGAAACGTAGACAGAGCGAGCACGAGAAGTACTGCCTAGCTAGAGCCTTGATTCCAGATCCTTCCTTCCCCGTGGACCCCGTCGCACCCCTTCTCGACCCCCCGCAGGACAGAGCGACCCGCTACGTCCTGCTGAATCCTCTGACGGCCCCCGCGGGCACGCCGCTCTACTCCGTTGCGCGGTGCTCGCACTGGGGAGGCAAGCAGTCAGAGCGCCGAAGTAGAGACCGCGTTTGGGAGCAGGAGGGGCTCTCTCTTGTGGGGCGCTCCTCCTCTCCACCTCCTCCTCCTCCTCCTCCTCCTCCTCCTCCTCCTCCTGCTCCTCCTCCTCCCCCCTCCTGCTCCTCCTCCTCCTCCTCCTCCTCCTGGCCGTGGCCGCGGCTCGCCGTGGCCAGAAGAGCCCCTTCGATTCCCTGCTCCGCTTCCTCGGGTGCGGCGCGATGGCTGCATCGGTGCCCACGGCCTCGCG